TCGCTCGCTGCTTCCTTAGCTTTGCCCCTGCCCGCCCGCCCGCCGCGGGCTCGGCGCCGGGATGGGACTCTGCTTGCCGTGCCTGGGGGGAGCTGCCGACACCGTGGTGGAGACGCCTGACCCCGTGAGTGCCGAGAGGCCGCCCGAGCTGCTGCTGCCGCTGCCTCCGGCGGTGCTCTGGCATGAGTGCTGGTTTCTTCCCTCCAGAGCCAGCTTGGTTGTAATGCCTCCCCCCAGACCCACGCCCCACTTGTTTATCCTCCTTACCCGAGTATTAAGGCTGCAATCCCAGCTCACTTCCCTGGGAGTAAGCGCCCCAGAGCTCTTCACGGCTGACTTCCGTGGAGTCAGAATTGCATCGCGCGTGTCGCAGTTCGTCACTTCACCCTTAATTTGGGTTGAAACTTATTTTTAATTTGTGGGGAAAAATAATTTCTGTGTGTCTGCTCCCTTCCCCCCACCCCGACAGAATTTTGCTTGGTCTTCCCCCTTTTATTTTATTTTTTCCCGATTAATTGTTTGATAAAATAAGATTAGAGTAAAATATGCCAAGAGGATTATTTGAATACAGTACTGCCACACACACCCTATATGTTTACACAGGAAGAGGTCTCGTTGACTTGAATGGGACTTACTGTTTGCTAAGTGCGTATAGGATTGCATCTTTAAAATAAATGCAAGGGGAGTGAAGCGTGCTTAACCGGATGTTGTTCCTTTTACTTGGAAGTAAATCCCATTGTGTCCAGTGGGGTAGGCACGCCTCTGCTGGAAGTCAGAAAAATATTGGATGCTTAAAGGTTCACAGAGTTATAAACTTCGATATTTCCTAGTGAATAAACAGAAGGCGCGTGGAGAGGATAGCATGTCAGAAATATTTGGCAAAGTGAAAACAAAGTACAAGATGCACAAACCCTGTCAAGAGAACATACTTATTTTTGAAGCACAACGATGGATGTTGTTGGGTATGAGACTGTACTTGCTTGGATGCATCATTTAAGAGTGCTTCAAAGGTTTCTAAAAGAGTAATGTATGAAATGCATTTGTCTTGTGGCTTTTAAATCACGGTCCTGGTATGTTATTATTTAAAAATACGCATTGGTTTGTTATCTCCCTTCGTCTTAGTATCTGATTTGATTTATTTTGGCTACTAGAGTGGATCCAGATGATTAGTGTGTGTTCCCCGGCCCTACATACACACCCTGGAATGAACCGTGTAGATCAGTAATTAGGAGCCCCTTGTATAGAGCCATGTAATAAAGAAGAGGGATTTGTCCTGATTCCCCTGTTTCACCCACAATTAGTAATCTAAACCAGGGCTAGCATGACTACTCTCCTTGGGTCCTTGTCTTATCTAGAAATGCTGATATTCTCATCTTGCAGATGGGAAAACTGAGTCTGCAAATAAGTCACCCAACTCCTTAGTGCGTTTACAGCAAAGATGAACCCTGGACCCAGGTCAGAAATGCAAAGCACATTTCACATCTTTTATTCAGAAGTTAAGTGCCTCACCGTGCACAGTTTATCTACTTGTGTTTATACTAGTATCTGATCATTGGTTCAGAATGTGGAGCAACTGAGACTGGAGTTGTCTCCAAACATTTTCCAGGTAGTGCAGCTAACATCCTAAACTGATATGATTATTCCGATATGTGCAAAACCTTTAGTTTTAATAAGTTTTATCTTACTACTAACATAATTGCTGCTATGGTTCTCATGCATGTGCGTATATAGTGTGATCTGTGGAATATTGTCATAAGAAATTATAAAACTTTCCCCTCTGCAATTAATGGGGGACATGGAACAGTAAAACGCGCGAGCATAAGTTCAAAATGTATTCGCGAAGGCTTTCACGGCCGGGATCTAATGGTTGTTGTGGGTTTTTCGGGCTTCTTGGCCGTGTTCTGAAGGTGGTTCTTCCTAACGTTTCGCCAGTCTCTGTGGCCGGCATCTTCAGAGGACAGCAAAATACTTGGCTTAAGCCCCCAGAATTCTGATTGGAGGAATTCCTACACACTTCTGCCCCCCCAAAATACAAAAGTCCTATGCCTAGCAGTTTCCAAAACTCCTCAAAGGTAGCCCCATGAGCAGTAATCCAGTCTAGATATTACAAAGTTATGTGATCATGTCTTGGCAAATTAAGAAAATAAGAATAAAAATAATAATAGGGAAAACACAGATGAAGAAATAAATTTCCCTTTCTCAGAATAACTGATTTTTAAATTCTGCCTGAAATACTCTTCAGGTGATTATAACTCCGCACATATTAGAATTGTATCCAGTTATTTTTCAGTTCACATGAATGTGTTTTATTTCCTCCTTGGGCAGAAACCCCCCAAAATACAAAAGTCCTATGCCTAGCAGTTTCCAAAACTCCTCAAAGGTAGCCCCATGAGCAGTGCATTGTAGTAATCCAGTGTAGATATTACAAAGTTATGTTATCATGTCTTGGCAAATTAAGAAAATAAGAATAAAAATAATAATAGGGAAAACACAGATGAAGAAATAAATTTCCCTTTCTCAGAATAACTGATTTTTAAATTCTGCCTGAAATACTCTTCAGGTGATTATAACTCCGCACATATTAGAATTGTATCCAGTTATTTTTCAGTTCACATGAATGTGTTTTATTTCCTCCTTGGGCAGAAATCATCTTTTGATGAACTTTGCTCTTTATATTAGCATGTTTTTCTTGAATTCTTTGGATACCAATGTAGGAGTTTAGGATGATCAGTCAGCACAATGAAAAGTTTATGAAGGTTGCCACATCATGAAATTTTTAGCATAATGGTCATCATTATGCTACCACTGTAAGGGATACCCATCCTTCAGGAAATGGTTCATATATCCTCCTTTATCCCATGTTTAAATCAGTCAGTTACTCCCAGTTGCTACTTATTTGTTCACCAGCCTTACAGACACTTATTTTCTATTTTTACCCCCAGATGGCCAGAAAACCTTAAAAGTGACAAGCATAACTGACATGAAGAAAATATTTTTTGACTTTTATCCTAATCAAGCTAGCAAGAGTTACCAGGAAGTTTCTACTGTGGTTGACTCTTGAAAGGCATGTACATGCATATTCTGATTTAATATCCTGGCTTTCTGCAAGCTATGTGGTGTGCCATGCTGATTGCATGTGATGGGGGTTGATCCATTTACAGAAAGCCAGATTATTAACAGTAGTTTAGCTTCTCATTCATGTACCAAACAATGGAGGCAAGATGCTATGTTGTACACATGGCCTATGTTTGTACAGATGTAAATGGAGCCCCCTTTCCATGTGGCCATGTGAAAACAGAAATTGTGTAAACAGCAAGAATGTGCACCTCCCCCCATATCAGCATACTTATATTAACATATATGCTCGACTTATGATTGTATTCTAAGAATATGTATTGCCTTTTTTTGCTTTGACTTTATATGCATGCATTGAATTCTTTTTGAAGAAAAATTTAAAATTAAAAGGTCTGAAATAAATTTGATCACATGTCCGCAGTCCTGGCTTGCCTGCACTGGTTACTGGTCGCCTCCTTGGTCAGATTCAAGGTTTTGATGATCACCTATAGAGCCATTCATGGCTTGGGCCTTCGCTATTTGTCAGAGCATCTTATCCAAATGTCATTTACCCACACAACTAGGTCTTTCCAAGCTATGCTCCTCTGGGTGGCTAATTTAATGGAAATCAGCTACCAGAAGTAGGGCTTTCTTGGTGGTGGCACTAACACTCTGGAACCAAATCCCAGTAGAGCTGCGCCTGGTCTCCTCCCTCCCAATGTTTAAAAGGCGCCTGAAAAGACTTCTTTTTAGAGAGACCTTTCGTGACAACCTTGCCTGATTTTTCAGTATGCCTCATGTCATATATATACGTTGTAATCTACACCTCTTTGAGGCTATTTCTATTCTTTGTTTTATTTTAATTAGACTTATTGTTGTGTTTTTATCATTGTAAACTTCCCAGAATAGCACATTGTACTAACAGAGCGGTGTATAAATTCAAGAAAGATAAATAATAAATGGGATGGAAACAAGGCATCCACAGCTCTCTAGAGGAATTATACTTTCATATTTAGGCTGAAAACCTAAATAATTCTGTTCTGAATAACCAGAACATATAATGTAGTATCGGACAGTATTCTTCTGGGATTCCCCTGCTTTCTCATATGCTGCTTAGTTGCTTTTAAGATAGATGTATGCAGGGCTTGAAAAATTTTAGAATGTCTCACCAGTCAGTTAAAAATTTTAACAGTCAGCATGACTGGACTATAGCCTTGCAATTTCTGTTAACAAATTTAAACTAGGCACTTGTTCATTTTTATTTCTACATAACAATGTGTACTGTGGTAGTGGAGGTATATTTAGATTCACCATCATAAGGTCATCTAAGCTTTCAGTCTCTAAACACAATCTGAATTTATTTTTAATCAGATTCATCTGGCTGAAACCCCTTTCATAGCTAACTGTAGAAACTGGTTGAAATTGGGAGCAGGGAATCTCCGTATTCTCCAGCATGGGACTACTCTACATTTTCCTGTAGAACTATGTCTCTATGTGCTGCTCAAACTCTCTTCTCGTGAGAAGAGGGCAATTTTCCTCTTCTCACGAGAGGGAGGGGAAGACTACAGAATTAGAGAGGGGGGGGGACAGGCGGAGGGGAAGGAGGCAGGGAGGGAGAGAGCTGTGACTCATCGAGCAGCATTTTACACTCGTCACAGACAAGTGAATGAGTGCATTTTTCAAGCCCTGTTCATTGTAGATCCTGCGGGCTGTTTAAAGTGGTGCATGGCATTAGGGGAAAGGGACAGTTTCCAAAGGTCTCCGTACCAACATATGCCATGGAAACCTGATAGTGTGCTGTAATACACTGGATTTGTTTCTATCGCATATTGATTTTATCTCTCTGTTTTTGTCTGTGCAGAAGTAATCTATCACTAAACTAATGCATCTGTGCAGTTATTAAATGATCTAATTCTTAACTTTGTATTTTTTAAAAATACTTTTGGGTGACTATGGAGAAAGATTGTGGGGGTAGGTGTCCCACTGTCCAAAACGTCATGTCCAGCTTAGTAGTCACCAGAATACCACCCATGGTCATGCCTCCCATATTCTTGAGAACAAAACAACTGATCACATTGGGAAAACACAATTCAGAATATTCTGAGTAGAAGCCCCCAGAAGAAGGAGGGAAAACTTTGCATCTGAAACAAAAAGGACTGAGTTGATTTGCTTTGACCTTTGCATTGTGCAATTAGTTTTTTAAAAAAGTTTAAATTCATCAATTCCATTTCTGCAGCAAATCTGATACTATTTCCCAGCATAATCACAGCCTTGATTGGATATTATCATTACTATTTTGATTCTTGAGGTAATGGTTCTAAACAGTTTCATTGTGCTGCATCCAAGCTATTCTCCAGAGTTCTTTGGTTAAAAAGTTCTTTTTCTTCCTGGTTATTATTTCCTTTTATTTTGCCTTGAATGTTAGCTGTAAAAATCTGCTTCTTACAACATTTTTCACATTTTCAGTATATAACTTTAACTGGATTTCTTACTTTTTGCTGATTATTATAAACTTGATTTTCTTAATACCCATTTTCAGTCTATGTTCATTACTTACTAAGGAAAAGGAAAGTTTCTCTTTGACAAATATCCAGCCATGTCCAACTCTAGGGAGCGGTGCTCATCCACGTTTTCCAAGCTGTAGAGCCAGCGTTTGTCCATAGACAGTTTTCCATGGTCACGTGGCTAGCGCGACTAGACACGGAATGCTGTTACCTTCCCAGTGTGGTGGTACCTATTTATCTACTTGCATTTGCATGCTTTTGAACTGCTAGATTGGCAGAAGCTGGGACAAGCGATGGGAGCTCACTCCATCGCGTGGATTCGATCTTACGACTGCTGGCCTTCCGATCTTGCAGCACAGAGGCTTCTGTGGTTTAACCCGCAGCACCACCATGTCATTAGTTACTATGTGGACTTTATGCATACCTTAGCTCTAACTCCTGACAGTGTGAAATATTGTTCTGCATTGGAAAAAAAAACTTGAAAACAATCAACAACACTCAATCATAGTACAAAATTACCTGTTTTATGATGGTCTTTCATGTTTTATGTAGGAAATGAGAAGAAGACAACTTGCAGAAGCTGCAGAAAAAAGGCAAATGGAGGTAATTTAATGCTTGGCAGAGAAATCTACTCAGTTATATGTGTATGTAATTGCAAACATGTTATTCTCGTTCAGCATGCACAATGGGAAAAATGTTTGCATGAACTCAAGACTAGATCAGTTGAGGCCATCTCCAAACCATGTGGCTCAGTTGTGATCTGTACAGCAAATGCTGTGATACAGATTGGATCAGATGTTATCTGCACAGTCCTGATCCAAACTTTATTATAGAGTTGGACAATCACCACCCTCACATCATGGTGGCATGTCCCTGAAGGTATTGATTGAAATAAGTGTTCTGTTGATTTAAAGTAGCCGTGGGCAACCTCCAGTGATCCACACACTCAACCTTAGATCTTTAGATGGTTGCATCTGCTCTTGTGATGTCCGCTCTCATCCCTCCCCCCCACAAAAACTGGTGTTTTTAAAAAAACTGAATTTTTTTTTGTACCTCAGTGATTTTGAAAAAGGTTAAATTTGTTGGTGATAACAAAAGTTTTTTTGAAATATGCACCAAAATTACCCCACCATTGTGGACTTCTGGGGTGTTAGTTAAAAAAATAATAGTTTGTTCACTTGGGCCCCTGGGAGTGCATGTGGGCCATGGGCCACAAGTTGTCCACTCTGGCTCAGATTTTAAACATATGGAGAGTGATGTTTTCTCTGACTACAAAAGACAAAACAGAAAGCGTTACTGAGTTTATATTTGGTGCCTCAAGCCTTTGAATCTTGAAGTGTCCACCACCTTCATGTTTACATCTTTACAATCACAATATACATTTTTGCAGTCTTTTCTCTTCTGTAATTCGGATAGAGCTGGGCCTGAAATATCCACTCTCCTTTGTAATATCATTTATTAAAGGGGAGAGGTACTTTCCTGGCATTTCTGTTTGTGTGTGTGCATGCATGTATTTATTTACATGATAGATGATGGCAGAGGGCTTTCTTGAGTTTGCTTTCCTTGAAAAAAATGGAAAGAGAATTTTCCACTGCTTGAAGTGACGGCAAAGCTGTAGTAGACTATCACAGCCACCCTGCAGAACATCAGAATTGGAACCTAAGTCCTGTGGATTTTGGACAGTTGTGTTTCTTGTGCCCCCCCATCATGGAAATACAGTACAGTGGTGCCTCGCTTAACAAGGATAATCCGTTGCAGCGAAATCCCTGTAGAGCGAAATCCTCATTAAGCAAAATAAAAAATCCCATTGAAAGGCATTGAAAACCCATTCAATGCATTCCAATGGGCTGAAAAACTCACCGTCCAGCGAAGATCCTCCATAGGGGCGGCCATTTTCGGTGCCTGTAAAGCGAGGAATCTGTCCAAAAACACAGCGGGGAGCCATTTTACACACAGCGGGTGGCCATTTTGAAGCCGCCAATCAGCTGTTTTTAAAATGTTGTAATGCGAAGAATCGGTTCCCGAAGCAAGGGCAGTCATTGTATAGCACTTTTGTCGTTTAACGAGGTAATTGTTAAGCAAGGCACCACTGTATATGTTTTATATACAGATTTTAATTAATAGTAACAGTATTGTGTGTACAGTGGTGCCTCGCTAGACAGTTACCTCGCATGACAGTTGTTTTGCTAGACATTCGCTTTTTGCGATCACTATAGCGATTCGCAAAACAGTGATTCCTATGGGGGAATTTCACTGGACAATGTTTTGGCCCTGTTTCGCAAAGCGATTTTTGCTAGACGACGATTTTGACAGCTCCCTCCAAACTTGCAAACAGTTGTTTTCGGGACCTAAGCTTCACAAGACAGCAATTTAAACAGCTGATCGGCGGTTTGCAAAGCGGCTTTCCTATGGCCGATCTTCGCTAGATGACGATTCTTCCCCATTGGAACACATTAAACAAGTTTCACTGCATTCCAGTGGTGAAATGCTTTTCGCTAGACAATGATTTCACTAGCTATTTAAGTGGAACGGATTATCATCATCTAGCGAGGCACCACTGTATCTGTTATTTCACAAAAGAGAAAAATGGGAAAGGTATTTGCCATTCTTGTGTTGTTACAAAAAAAAAAAACGTGCTTTGTAACGTGCTTAGTTTTCCCTTCCCAAAGGCTGCTTCCCGTGGTATTAAGAATCTGTCTTCTGTGGAGCAGAAGAAAAGGAAACAGGAGGAAATGGAGAAACGTCTTGAAACTGCAGGGCCTGGCCCCGAAGGAGGTGGACTGAGAGTAAGTGCGTAAGAAGAAACAGCATTGCTGGATCGAACCCAAAGCTTACCTGCAGGATGGAGAACTTGGGATTGTTCTGATCATTTGGACAGATTGTAATTGTAATTTAAGCATCTGAAGGAAAACAAAGTTTCATTTCCTCCCCTTTAAACACTGTTTCCTAGTGTAGCCAATCAGATGCACTATAAGAAATTCAAAAGGAAGACAAGAGGCCAGTAGGTCCCTTCCCTTGTTCCTCAGAAACAGATCCTGGATTAGTTATAAAAAATTTAGGTAATTTCTTGTTCCATAAGAAGAACAAAAACAAAATATATAGTCAGGCAGTGCCTTTATTAAGACCAGCTAGACATCTGGAGTGGGGAAAACTAATATATTCATATTCGGCTTAGAGCTATAAGCCTGATCTGTGACAACATTCACTCCCAAATTTCATCCAAGAATGCAGGTTTGATGAGTCACTAGAAATTGTATAGGTATCCTGTGACATCTAGCAAAGCCTGCTGGGATGAAGGAAAAATGATAGATCTCCATGGTTCTTCATTGACTGAAACCCTGTTGAGTGTCTCTGCGTGTACAGCTGGGATGGTGCAATCAACAGCATTAATGGTGATTTCGGAGTGCACGTGATTAATACACAATGTAATGAATTTGTGTGCTCCCTGAAATCACTAAATGAAGCCTGTAATTAGTAGCAGTTTGCTATTGCTGATATTATCATTGGTATAGATGCAGAGCTATATCATAGGATTTCATCCAAAAGTAATGGATTAATTATGTGTCTAACTCTGAGAACAGCAATCTCTTCCCATGTCTGAAACAATTGTTCTTGGATTTTATCTTTTGCACCTTCATTGAGTGATTGATTGCCTTCTTATTATAAGGAACTGTGTTTGGTAAAATGAGTGTTGTAGCCTTTGGCTCAGACAACCCGAATCCCTTTGACAGATTACCTAGTGCATTGAGATTTCATTTAAAATCTAAAAATCGCCAAGTGTGCTGCTTATATAGCAACTCATACCTCTTAAAGCACTCACTAGGCTTTTTAAGTGCTGTAAATTTAATTATGAAGGCTACATATCCCCTGTGAGCTGGGTACTCTGTTTACTACCATTGGAAGGATGGAAGGCTGAGTCATCAACCTTGAGCTGGCTACATGGGCCTATCAGGATTGAACTCAGGTCATGAGCAGAGTCTTGACTGCAGTCCTGCAATTTAACCACAGTGCCATGGGGCTCCCCCAGATTGTTGTTAGAAGTCATGTAATTTTTGCCATGAGGGGCAGTGTTTCCGGTAGCCCTTTTCTCTACAATATTCAAGAACTTGTTTATTGGGCTTAGGCTCGAAATTATCATTTGAAGACATCTATAATAATGCTCAAAAACAAAAAGAATAAAATCTCTACAAGCCTATAAAAATCCAATATATGAGAAAAAAAATCTAGAATAGCCTTGCAGGAGCTGGTGAACTGGATAGGGAGGAACAACCTTATTTTTCATGTGAAGGAACCGACAAGAACTCAGCCTCTGTAAAAACAGTGCCATGAATTTTAATCTTCTTCTAAACTGTTTCTGTTCATTTTCTTCCTAGTGGCAAGTTGGATAATTCTACGTGCAGCTCTTGAAGCAAAGGAAAGGGAAACGTCCTACTGCCAGTACCTTGCCAGTTCCTACAGCTGAGTGGCATTTGTTCATAGTTTGGGTTTTTGCTGTCGCTTGCCTCCAAAGATGCAGCAGTACTAGGCCATGGTAGCAGGGCAGATGAATGACACACACTAAGGATGTTGTCAAACCAAAATCTCACAATGTTATAGCTGGGATGGCCAAAAACCAGTCACTTACTACTTATGTTGCCATACAAATTGACTCTGCATGTCTTAACATAGTGGGGCCAGGGCAGTTGTGGAAGAGACCCTTTGTGTAGATAAATTAAGTGCTCATGCTCAAATTGGTTATGGTTAAAATTTCTGTTTCTAAAAATGTCCCTCAGTATTTAACAGTGTTAAATTGAAAGATTCACATTTGAAAGATTCAAGCCATAGTTCTTGGGTTCCTGGCTCTGAGCTAAATCTGGAGATTTTTTGGGGGGGCGCTGTTTGTGCCTTAAAAATCCCAGTCCTTACATCTTCTGTGTCCTTATGTCTTACATTCTGTCTTTGAGGGGAATACAGAAATACAGAGAAATGTGGACTGTTCATTTGTTAACAGGAAAAAAAAAAATTGGGCACAGTCATATTTTTCTTTTACCACATGTAGGGAAGAACCACCAAACGGCAGCTACACTTATCTTACAATCTTGTGATGAAATTTCTCTGTTGAAAAAGATGTCCATATAAGCTTAGTTGATAACCAGTCTGAAATTTTTTTGGAGAATAATTGAATTCTGCAAATTGATCCAGTGTACCAAGCATTCTTTTAAACTTTATGATTAATATATGCATACTCTGCAGTAAATAAATTGATGTGCTTTATTCAGCCATCTCTTAAATGTTTCTGATCTATAGCTTTTGGGGTATCTAGAAGTTATTCGATTCTTCTTCTCCCTTTATTTGCGTGTCTCTGTCAATACTAGTCACAAAAAAATTGGGTATACACCAGAAGGATCTTGCTCCCTTTGCTTAAAAGATCCCTGCATTCTGCTGAGTTAATTAACTAAATAGAATATGTTTCTTGTTTACTAGCCAGCTGAGAGTATCATAATACAATTCTGATCTTGAGATGTCCTCCAAATTGTCCCTATCGGCTGATTTTTCCTTAACTGTTGCACTTACACTGTAAGGACTGTACAGGTTCCAGGAATGCTGTCCAGAATGAGGCTATTTCATCTTCATTGCAATGAAACAATACCTCCATTTTAGGACTTGTGCTTATTTATTTGACACACCTTTGAGAGAACAGTTACTGAGACATGTTAATCGCTCTTTCAGTCACTATCGGAGAACCTCTGAGGACTCACTCAGAGAGGGGAAGTGAGCAACATACAGTTCAGGCCCCCAGCTTTCCTCCATGCCCAGATACTAGATGTTTTGCATGTTGAAGAGGGATGTGCAAATAGTTTCAAATATATCCAAATCCAAATTTGATAGTTCTGAATGTTTGTAATAATACTTCCTAATATTCAGAGTTCCATTTACTCCTGTAGTTTAGAAAGCAAAAAGCTGGGTTTCTGCTTCCTATAGGAAGAAGTGAAATTGAAGCCTATTTCTCAGGCATCCTGGAGTAATTTCTTGAGAAATGAAACTCTGGCACCAAGGGAATTAGGGGTAGAGAATTCTGTGTCTCCTCATTGGGGTTCCCATGGGTTTCCTAATTGAAGGGGACTAGGGTGAGAGCAAAACTTGTAAATTATGTCTGTCTGCCCCAGTGAAATCTAGAATCAGGCACAGACACCAGCAGGTTTTTTTTTCATATTGTTTCTTTCTAATTCAAAGGTGGGCATAGCTGCTTATAAATCGCCCAAGGATTTGCAGTTAGGATATACTCCGGTGCAAGCTGACACTGCAGCAGTGTTCTGTGTGTCCTTTTTTGAACCCTCAACTTACATTTACATTCTCTACATCTCATTGTGCATTGTTGACTTCATATACAGTGGTACCTCGACTTACGAACATCCCTAGTTGAAAACGATTCGAGTTACAAACGGCTCTGTTCGAAAAAAGTTGCTTCGACCTGCGAATGGAGCCCGATTCGAGTTACAAACAGCTCTGTTCGAAAAAAGTTGCTTTGACCTGCGAATGGAGGTCTTACGGACCAAAAAGAAAAGTTCACCTTAGGTCAAAAGAAAAAAATTGCCCCCTAGTGGTAGAGTACGGATTAACCATTTTTGCATTCATTCCTATGGGAACTAATACCTCTACCTACAAACAGCGCCTCAACATACGAACGAAAAACAACAGACACGGATTAAATGGTTTTCAATGCATTCCTGTGGAAAAGTTTGCCTCGACTTATGAACTTTTCGACGTACAAACACCATTCCAATACAGACTAAGCTCATAAATCGTACCACTGTAGTTAGGAATAAAATTTAGGATTAGTTAGATTCCTAGATTCATAAATTATAAATCAGCAGGGAAATATTATAGGCCCCTTTGGGGCCTATCAGGCAGACAAATAAGATTTTGTTCTATGTAGACAGATATATTAAGATATATTAAGTTAATAGATTTTTTTTGTGTGTGTGCGCGTGTGGTTTCATTGGAAGGTTTTGTGTTTTGCTGTAGCAGCATCAGATGCTGTTGTTGGGTGGATCTGCAGGCAGTATAAAATGTAGATGTGGTAGAAGAAATAGGCACTTTGGGTAGATTGCAGGAATCAATGTTGCATGGCTTTGCTGCAAAGATTAGCATATTTGAGACTTGGAGAATTATAAAAAAGTGGACTTCATATAACAAGTCACAATACAGTATTGTGAAAAAGTCCTGGAAACAGATTTTCAGTATTTGAGTACTTTGGGCTGATTTAATTTAAATACATTTTCAAGTTTGCTTAGTTTATTTATTATTTATTAGATTTCTATCCCGCCCATCTAGACCAAGGGTCTACTCTGGGCGGTTAAACTAGTTCCAACAGTTTACTACAAAGCAAACATGTTATATTCTACTGCGAAACATTTAATTATTTTCCCGTCACAGTAATTTACTTACACAAAAAAACAATAGATGTACTTTAGTGTATATAATATGTGAGATGTAGTCTGAGTAAGTGAGCACCATCTTGGAGTAGCAGTTAGAAGAAGAAGCAGAACGTCGAATTATTGTCTCTGCATATAGCCCATCAAGATGGTTCCTCCAAAACAATTTCCCAGACAACTGGTGATTTGCATTTTCAGAACAGATTTCGTCAACCCAGATAGCTTGAGGTGTACAAACATCTTTCCAATCAGCTCTAACATTTATTTATTGCTAGAGCTTGAAAATCAGACTGCCTGTGACACACAAGCCTTGGGAGAGATCACATTCTTAATTTCACAGATGTTCCTGGAAGTGGAGTTTGACTGAACTTTGAATTTTTAAAACAATGAATAAGGTTTGATGGTGATGTCAGACATCTCATTTAGTATCAACACAGTGGCTGGGGCAGGTTCTTTAATATAGGTTTTTGAGCAGGCAGAGGGTAGTTGTAAGCTCCAGATATTGTTGGAATGCCACTTCCTTAAGCTTCACCTTACAGAGCTGATAGTGAGGGATCATGGGAGTTGAGGACTGACAACATCTGCGAGTTGTTTACCTAACTCTAGATCATCAAGTGGTGTATAATGGCATTAGCTGGCAGCAAGGTATGCACCCTTTTCATTATGCCTTCTTTTCGGATTCTTTATCCTTTTGCCCAAAGCATTCTTTGTAATTGCAAAGAATAAAGCAACTCCTACTTACACAGATCTTCAGGTTATTCTTTGGAATTGAAGAAAGTTGGTTAGAAATCTGTCCCACTAGAGCAGCTGTTCACTCTACCTAAGAATATGCATTAAGATTCAACAGGAGTTAGTACTGATGGAACATTAATCCCCAAATAAACACAAAAATCTTAGTAGATCTATGCAACAACCCTCTACTTGTTTGTGAGATCTCCAAATTGCAGAGAATAAGAGAGAGCTCATTAAAGCTTTTTTTAAAAGTATCTGTTTATTTCTAATGCATCATATGATTTCAGGCCAAATTTATACAGTCATTATTCAAATAGTCCTCGAACAATGATTTTTCCCTAGCAAGGCACAAAAGTTATGTTTAGACAAAGGAAAATTAGCAAAACCTATAAATCAAACCCAGCATTCCTATATATCATGAAGATATGTCATCCTAACTGTGTCTCTCCAAACTTTATCTACAGAGAATGCACACAGTATTTTCATATTCTCCTCAATACACTCAAAATCTTAACAGTCCAGAGCATTCCACGGTCACATGACGGGATAAGTTACCTAGAACCGCCTTACGCTATTACTTTTCCCTTCACCCACAGCATACAGGAAAGCCCATTATAGGGGCAAACAACAAACACTCAAAACCGGCCCATGAGCCATTTAGTACAGGTTACTGCATCCTTACATAAAGTTTGAAAGGAGTGACAGTCAGGGGTCACTCCTGTATCAAGAACAAGTAGTACACTTGCAAAGTATTTAAAAAATCTGGCAGATAGACTAATGTATTGTTCACTTTGAGTAAATGTTTGCACCTCTTCCAAGACACAGCAAAGACTTGAACAGCACTCTTAAGGCTTAATATGAATATCAGCCCTGAATTTAAAATGTTGTGAGCTTGGCAATGCTGGTCACTACAAAGTCCTACCTGAAGCTTTTCAATATCTTTTATACTGCCAAGGCACCTGCCCATCTTTTGTCAGTGCCATCCATAGTCTGTATCTTGTCCAAACAGAAAGGTAGCTGATGTTACCTGTTGTGTATCTCTGTGAGGTCAGAATCACCTGCTGTGTATCTAGTGATGTCAACAGTGTCACTAATGTGGGAAGTAGGGTGGGAGGAGTGAGGGGTCCCAGGTGGTATATGCCTGCTTTACAGGTGTGCTGTTAAAAAGATGCCCCTTGTAGTGCAGGCTGGATGGTATCTCCAAGTTGGCCCTCTCCTAAATAAAACACAGAGTCCATGCAATAGTGTCTAGATCAAAGCTGCTAGAACAAGGAAGGGCAAAGTTCATCCCTTCATCTGTTACTGAACTAAGACTCTCAGCAGCTCTGTCTCACATAACCCACAGTGGAAGAATTTGGGAATTACGTCCTGCAATATCTGGATGGCCATAGTTGGCCCAGACAGGATGCCAAGCACCTCTTCTTGCTGTCAGTGTTGATAATCCTTGGGAAAAATTCAAGAGGCAACAAATATTGGGACAGTTTTCTCAATAGAAATGTTGCCTCTAAAGTAGAAACAGTATGTGATATTCCAAGCAAGGCCTCAGTATTATGTTGCCAGCAGGCTAGCTTTGCTCATTGTTCTCTAAAAAGAAAGGGAGGCTACTTAAGGCTTTTAAGTTAAGCAATGGGCACATATTCCTATATTCACAACAGATACAAGGTTAGATTCAAGGTTGGATTCAAAGTAGCACTCCTGAGTTCCACTAATATTGGAGGAAGAAAATAAGGTGGTGCTTTGCAAATCCCTATTCCCTTGCACTTCAACAACTTTCTGTGTCACGAATGGCTGTTGTACAGAGCCTGGAACCATCCTGAACATCATGGGGGATGGCAAAAAGGGCAGGAAGGCAACGGCAAAATAATAATAATAATAATAAAAGATGGCAAAAAGGGCAAGAAGACAACAGAAAAAATAAATCATCATCACCTAATTCCAAAATGGAGACAGTGCTATATTTTCCCTATCCCATCATCACCTAATTCCAGAATGGAGACAGTGCTATATTTTCCCTATCCCTGTGGATGAAGGAACAAGTCTGGCTCAAGCTCATAACTTTCTATTCCTAAAGAGGCAACCTTCTACTAAAGAGGCACTGAAAAAGTCAAGGATGATAAAAAGCTCCTGAATTCTCTCTCTCTCTCTCTCTCTCTCTATGAAAAATTCAAGGGTGATAAAAAGCTCCTGAATTCTCTCTCTCACACACACCCAGAACAGGATGCATATTGAGAAAGGTAACTGAGACTCTAAAATGTCCCAAGGTCGCAGAGACCCAGTCTCAGCTGCTTTCTAGATCAAGTTACCAGCCCATCAGCTGTTTGTACAGACACGAACAAAAAAAGACGAAAAAAAGGATAGGTAACAAATCAACCAACAACCCCTTGGTGTAATGTGCTGTTTGGCCACCAAAGTTTTTCATACTGGTCATTCTTAAACACTGTATAGGTGAGAAGGGGGTCAGAACATGAATAACCTCAACATTTCCCCATTACTGCATTCCCTTCTTAAACTGAAATAGGTCTTAGCAATAAAAATTACTAATGTGGCATTCATTAGTACACAGATATCAGTTCTATGGTGAGTGTTTTTGTGTTTTCTAAACCACAACTAATTCTTGCCTATTGGTTCTTTTTCCATTATTAGTCTGGCCTATAAAACAAGAATTTTGTCACGAATAATGGGCAGACGTTAAGAACAAACATTTTCCACCAGTTGGCACATAGATCTGTATCATTTCCTTTCATCTCATATAGTAAACATCCTGATCTATCAGCCTGAGTAAAAAAAATGCCTGATAGACTATGTGGTGGTAGCACCTGTTAGACATAGAGGTTAAGAACAAGCATTTTCCACTAGTTGGCATGTAGATCTGTATCATTTTCTTTCATCTCATATAGCAAACATCCTGATCTATCAGCCTGATCAAAAAAATTCCTGATAGACATGTGACTATGTGGTGGTAGCACCTGTTAGACATTTTCCACTCATTTCAAGGAAGGAACTTAATCCTTTCACAAGAATACATAAGAAGATCAGGACCATACTGTATCCGGGCTAGCCTGCAATCATAGGACCTTAGTACGTGCTGGAATAAAGAAGGGGTTGTATATTTGCTCCAATATTCTGACTGACCGGCATTCTCTAGCTTCAGGATGAGTTTACAACTTTAAAAAAAATTGGAACCAAGCCTGGGACCTCCTGCATGCAGCACCTCCTGTGCTCTATAACTGAACTACACCTAACTCTGGATTCGGGCAACCCAGTGGAAATTCTATATATTTTTCATACAAATATATCACATTTCAATACCTTAATGTGAGTCATATTGCTTAAGTCATTCTAAGAATACATTCATAGAGTAATAATTTGGCTAAAAATATATGTCTATTTGTTTTTAATCTCATTGTAGTAATTAACCTATCAAGGGTAACTTGCTATTTTTTTTAAAAAAGGTACAGTACTAGAAATAAATAGTTCTACAGTTCAACAATCCCTAATGTGGGTTGTCATTTCCAGTCTGCTTGTAATTTTTCAAAGTCCATTTGAAGCACCAGCTAATTTGGCTACACTTGAAAAGATAGGGTGGGGCTACGTATACAGAGTCCTGAATGAAATAAGGAGGCAATTTCACTTAATCTCCTTCTTAGTTTTGTAATGGGCAGAAACCACCAAGTAGCTGTCTGGATTCATGTCCTTGATGGTTGGCGACTTGTTCTGGATCGGGGACGTTTTCCCATCCACCCGAGAGATCTGCAGCATTCGGCATGGATCATGTTTCAGCAAGTACCCTGCAAACGTCTCCCATCCTCCTCCTACACGAACCATCACATGTTTGTTGTGCAGCATCTATATTTGCAAAAGAAGAGAGAGGGGAAGGGGAGAAACAGGAAGACATGAAAGACAGGATTTGTGTTTGCAAACGTATCTTTTATTGTTGAAATCACACATGTACACTCAAAGCAATGTAATCCTTTTGAAATCATTGGGAGTAAGGACCCAATCTCAAAAATATTCAAATGTAAGTCCAGGATAATTTAGGGGCTATAATTTGATTTATTCACCAGGTAGGTGCAGCCAATTGTGCCAAATTAATTAAATTAATGTTTTTAGCTGGTGAGCGCAAGGAAATGCATCTTCAGGTTGCAGTCACCTATGGCGGATGTGCTAGATTTTGCTAAAATAACTCCATGAATACCTCTGATGCCTTGAAAGCCCTGTTAGGCCCGCTATAGGTTGTTTGTGATGTGATTTGACAGCACATAGAAGTTACTGCTAATTTGAATGATGTTCCAGATACAAGTTTTAAAGAGTTCCAGAAGTCAGCAGTTTACTAAAACAATAATAAAAGAGGCTGTAACAGCAGTAATGGAAACATTAAACTGTATTTCTTTGCTTGAAAACATTACACACTTTTCTCTGAAATTGTCTATAATAGTTGCAATGAATGTACAATACTGTTGTTCCCTAGCTTCATTGCCTCTGCTCAAAAAGATAAAAAGCTAGAAAAGGAAGAGTAAGTGAGGGAAGTTGCTGCAAATCAACTATTCGGTAGTTGTGTTTCACTATGAAATAAATCCCACACATGCAGAAGAATGTATATTGCTATTGAGCACATTAAAACCAAAGCCAAGAACATTTTAAATTGTATAATAATTCTAAAAAATTGTGTGCTGAGCCTGTATCATTACTTGTATGACTGCCACAAGAGGGCTCTCTCCATGCAAGATTTGTTGTACCAATAGTATAAACTGGGATTTAGTAGAGTGATTAAAATAGAGATAAAAGCCATAATAGGCAGCAATATGTGAGGAATATAAAAAATAAATAATGCAATACTGATAGACTGTGTTTGCAGCAGTTGAATACATGATATACAATAACCAAAAAATATAATTTCATGCTGGTTTCTATGAAGTGCTATCAAAAACACTTGGGATAGCAATGCCACATTTTATGGGTAGTTTTACCTATGACACAGCAAAAAAGGTTGTGAGTAGAGATGGCCATGAACGTCTGATTTAACAGTGTACCCCAATTCTTTTACTATTGCAAAAAATGTTCAGCAGTTTGGCACTCCACCCCCACTCTGAGGCAGCATCTTGGCTTCCCTGCCCTGCCTCTTCTGGGTGTGGCCTTTTCAGTTGGCACCCACCGGAGGGGGCAAGGTGCCAGATCTCCAAACAACTGTTGTGTAAACAAAGTGCTGAACCGGCAGTTCATGCCCACCTCTAGTAGTGAGCAAACAAGTTACATTGCTAAAGTTTGATAACAGGAATTTGTACATCTCTTCTGTGGATATTAGTGATGTACTTTTGGTGTAGCAACTCTGCATCTCCCTGGCAATGCTAAAACCTTCAAAACCATGAGTAGCTTGGGTACACATAGCTTCATCTACCAAACTCATAAGGATATGGTATGTTAAAAGAATGATGGTATATTAATAATCTTTGGGGTTATTTATTACTTATTCTCCAGGTACAAAGAATAACACATTAGTTGAAATCCTGTTGCTTAGTCTAGTAAGTCACACTAGAATAAACCCATTGAATTAGAGGGGATTTGGTGAGACATCAATTGCTGTTCCTGATCCTTTCCAGGTCCTTGGGTGGGGTTGTCACATTCATGGGGGTTACAACAGCAGAGTCCAATAAGCCAGTCCTATGTCAGGAATTCAGGGAATGCAGAGCCTATAACCAAATACCAAAGCCAACTCACACAACGTAGTCCAGGGTCAGAGTCCAAAGCCAAAACGCACAATGTAGTCCAGGGTCACAGTCCAAAGGCAAGGGTCTAGAGAATAAGGTTCAAGGCTGTCAGGAGCGTGTATGCAAGCCAGAGATTTGACTTGTTGCTTCCACAGACTTTCAGCCGTCTGAGAGCAGTTTATATAGTAAAAACAGCCCTTGAACTTCTGGAAGCCTTTTCATCCTGTCAGAACTCAGGGCTAGTTCATTGGATGTTTCTGCGGGCAGCCTTCAAGTGATCCTTTGACCTTTTTGTCATAAGTCTTCCCCAAAGCCTGGCCCGAAGCTTGTCTACTGGGGGAGAAGAATCTGGAGCTAATTCAGGTGTTTGTATTTCTAATTGCTCAGTATTCTCCTCAGCTACAGTTAACCCTTCAGGTTCTGGATCTTCGGCTGCACTCATGACAGGGGTCAAGTGAAGGGCTCCAAAAAGTTTGAGCCTCAAGGCTATAAAAATGGACAGGGGTGTTGCATTGGGAGTATGGCCATGTTACTCCTATCCTGGTCATAATATCTGCACTCTGGGTGCACTACCATAGGCCTAAGTCCTACTCTGCTAACATGGACGTATTTATTTATTTAT